GGGGCGGGCGGTGAGGGGCCCCGGACAGCGGGGGCGGCTCTGCTGTGCTTTCCCAGGAGCACTGCAGCCTCCAGACACTCTGAGGGTCACACTTGGGGTCTCCCAGTGCCTGGGCCCCAAGGGGACAGTGGGAGGGCCTGTGTCGAGTGGGACATCTGGAGGAGGTGTGCCTGAGGGTCCGGTGGGGATTTGGGGGCCGAGTCTCCCGCACCCCAGTGCGAGCAGCCAGGCTCACTCCCCGGTCGCGCTGCTCTGTCTCCCTGCAGGCGCCCTCCCGCCCAGCGGCCCCCGGAGCAGCTCCTCGGCGCCCGCCAACCCCGCCGGCGGCCTCCTGAACCCCAGCCTGCCCTTCACGTCCTCCCCGGACCCCGCGCCCTCCCAGAACCCCCTGTCGCTGATGATGTCCCAGATGTCCAAGTACGCCATGCCCAGCTCCACGCCGCTCTACCACAACGCCATCAAGACCATCGCCACCTCCGACGACGAGCTGCTGCCCGACCGGCCCCTGCTGCCCCCGCCGCCGGGCTCCGGGCCAGGTGCGCGGGGAGGGCGGCGTGGCGGGGGGCGGGGAGGGGGGCGGAGGGCGGCGGGGAGGGGGGCGGGGAGGGGGGCGGAGGGCGGCGGGGAGGGGGGCGGGGAGGGGGGAGGGGGCGGTGGGGAGGGGGGCGGGGAGGGGGCGGAGGGCGGCGGGGAGGGGGCGGGGAGGGGGGAGGGGGCGGTGGGGAGGGGGGCGGGGAGGGGTGGGAGGCGGAGGACGGCGGCGGGGAGGGGGGCAGGAGGGGTGGGGGCCGGAGGGCGGCGGCGGGGAGGGGGGCAGGAGGGGTGGGGGGTGAGGAGGGGGCGGCAGGGACGAGTGGGGGGCGGGGAGGGGGGAGGCGGCAAGGGGGGCGGGGCGGGCCTGCCGCTGTCACTGCTCCCCACGCCCTCCCTCGGAGTAGGGGGTGATGGCCGGGGCCACTCCCACTCGCAGTCCTTAGGGAACCGCGCCCGGGGCGCCGGAGGGGGCTGTCCGGCACCCAGACGTGTCCGTGGCGACCCGGACCAGACCTGGCTCTCGGCGTCTCGCCCTCAGGCAGCCGGAGTGAGGTCGCCCCCCCCGCACCGGCTGGTCCCCGCAGCTCCTCATCCCTTCCCCTTCCCCACAGGGATCAGCGCCAACCAGGCCAACGCGATGCACCTGAGCTCCGCCGCCCAGAGCCCCCTGGGCATGCCCCTGCCGGGCCAGCAGCCCCTGTCCCACGAGCCCCCGCCCGCCATGCTGCCCTCGCCCACCCCTCTGGGTCCCAACATTCCGCTGCACCCCGGTGCTCAGGGGGCGGGGGGCCCGCCTCAGAACTCCCTGATGATGGCTCCGGGGGGCCCCGACTCCCTGAGCACCCCCTGTGGCCCCGGGCCCGGCTCCTCCCCGATGATGCCCTTCCCCCCGCGGCTGCAGCAGCCCCACGGCGGGGGCGTCCCCGGTGGGGGCGGGGGGCCGGGCCTGCAGCAGCACTACCCCCCGGGCATGGCCCTGCCCCCCGAGGACCTGCCCGGCCAGCCCCCTGGCCCCATGCCCTCCCAGCAGCACCTGATGGGCAAAGGCATGGCCGGGCGCATGGGCGACGCGTACGCGGGCATGCTCCCGGGGGTGGCGTCCGTGCTGAACGACCCCGAGCTGAGCGAGGTGATCCGGCCCACCCCGACGGGGATCCCCGAGTTCGACCTGTCACGGATCATCCCCTCGGAGAAGCCCAGCAGCACCCTCCAGTACTTCCCCAAGAGCGAGAACCAGCCCCCCAAGGCCCAGCCCCCCAACCTGCACCTCATGAACCTGCAGAACATGATGGCGGAGCAGACCCCCTCGCGGGCGCCCAGCCTCCCGGGCCAGCAGGGCGTCCAGCGGGGGCTCAACATGCCCATGTGCCACCCCGGACAGATGTCCTTGCTGGGCAGGACAGGCGTGCCCCCGCAGCAGGGCATGGTGCCCCACGGTCTGCACCAGGGGGTGCTGTCCCCGCCACAAGGCCTCATGGCGCAGCAGAACTTCATGCTGATGAAGCAGCGGGGCGTGGGGGGCGAGGTATATGGCCAGCCCCCCCACATGCTCTCCCCGCAGGGCTCGCTCATGGGCCCCCCGCCCCAGCAGAACCTCATGGTGCACCCCCTGCGGCAGCGCAGCCTATCTCTGGACAGCCAGGTGGGCTACCTCCCGGGCCCGGGGGGCATGGCCAACCTGCCCTTCTAGCACTCCCTGCGGCGGCCGACGGCCCCGTGTCACCTGGAGAGTGTCTTCCTGCCGTGGCGGGGGCCGTGGCCGTGGCGGGGGCCGTGGTGGGGCTGTGGCGGGTGGGTTGGAGGGTGGGAGGGGCTTGTGTGGGGATGGCGTTTGTGGCAACCAGCCGTGCTGGCAACGGAGTGGGACACAGTGGGGAGGGCTCTGGAGGGGTTGTTCCATTGTGGCCATCAGACCATCCCACCCCCTCCACAAGCCTCCTGGAGACCATCCCTGTGTCTGCACCCATCACCCAGCTCTGCCTTCCAGTCCTGTGCGGAGTCCTCGGGAGAGGAGGAGGTGACCTCTGCTCTCCATCCTCTCCTGCTCCTGGTCCTGCTCCACCTGGTTCTTCCTGCCTCCCCTCTCCCTGCTGCTGTGGCACACACACACACACACACACACACACACCCCCGCCCGCCCCGCGGGCGCTGCCACGGCTTCCCACCACGCTCCTTCTCCTGTGCTTTGGGAGGGGTCACACAAAACAGGGATGAAAGAAGCTCTTTCCCCTCTTTCAAATTACTGCCCTCAGGCCTGTGCTCTGCTCACAGCATCTGGGTCCGTAGAGGATACCATTCTGGTCCCCCCACATAGGGAGATGACCTCCCACACCTGACAGCCCACACCTGACAGCCCACACCTGAACTAGGTCAGACCACCTGGCTTTTCCCTGGTGAGCCCAGCAGGGCTGATACCCGTGGACAGCGGGCTGCTGACTGATTCAGGAGAGAGAGTGAGAGTGTGTGTGTATGGCTTCCGGTTGTGGATGGCTGGTGTTCCTGCTGCTACATCTTGGCCAGTACTTGGTCCTGGGTCCCAGGCTGAGGGAAGGGAGAGGAGAGGGACGGCAGAAACTGTGGACCGTGGGGGACAGCGGGGGCCCAGGGGCCTGTGCCTGTGGCTCTGGGTCCGGTCTCACCAAAGGGGGAAGATCAGGGGTGGCCCAGCTGTCCTCCCACGGCCTCTGCCCTGAGGCGGACTAGAGAGCCAGACAGCGCCCTGCTGGCCTCCGCCTGCCCATGCGCTGGCAAAGCCCTCTGCCCAGGGCCAGGGCAGTGCCCACCCGGGCGCACACCTGTCTCCCTCCGAGCCCACACCCACCTGTCGAGCTGAACCATACACATGGGTGCTGTGCACCCCCTCCCCCCCACTTGTTTTCAAACTTCCCTTCCTGCCTTGGGGTCAGGCCTCCCCGGCCCCCAGGACCACATGTAGGCAAGGTGTCTGCCAGGGCCTCTGCCAGCCTGACGGGCCGGCCCCTGGCAGCTGTCACAAAGGGACTCCCCTCGGTGCTGTGCTCAGCCAGGGGCAGCGCCTCCCCCACCCCGTGTCCAGGAACCACTGCCCCGTCCAGCCAGGCGCTCGGCTGTGAGCCCCCACTCTCCCCAGACTCCACGGTGCCTGCCCAGGGGAGGGACAGACCCTGGGCGGCACTCCCTCCCACCTGCTGTCAGAGTAGCTTCCCGGAAAACTCCACAGGCCAGCCTCCTCCATCCACGGCCATCCCAGCCATTTTGTACCATTATATAAATATATATAAATATAAATATATAAATACAATATGTGAAGACATCCTTTGGGTTTTTATTTTGAAACTATTTCTAGGCTTGTTCTGGGGGATCTCTGTGCTGCCTGTACTGTACTGACCTGTTTTATAGGTGCCTTTTTATTAAAAAGAGAAAATGTAAGCCTGATCTCTGCCTCTGCTTCCATGTCTGGCTCCTTGCCACCCAGCTTGCTGTTGGACGCCGGGAGACGCTGACTCCCCTCCCGCAGGCCCGGGATGTGGCCGGTGGGCTGCGTGGAGCGGGCAGCTCAGGTGCCCTGCCAGGAGCAGGGCCGCCTCTCCCAGGAAGGCTGGGCTGAAGGCTGGGGCCGGAGGGGGCTGTAGGCAGTGCAGAGCTTTCCTCTGAGGGCAGCCTCCTGGGGGCTGGGCTCCCCTGCTGCCGTCTCCTCCCTCCCTCAGGCACCTGTGCAGCCCGGCCTGGGGGGGGGGGCGGGGAGAGGGCTCCAGCGGCTGCTCTGGCTTCCCCCGCGAGGGTCTGCACACTGGTCCTAACGCTGGCCCAGCCCTGCCGCCCGGGCCGCCGTGGGCAGAGGGTGCGGCTTTGGGTAGAAGCCCCTCCTGGGCGGGCAGGGGGTCCTTTCTCCCTGGCTGGCTCCTGGCTGCCAGCTCGGCCTTGGTTTCCTGGGAACTGTCTGGTCCCGTCCGCCCTCCGGGCCCAGGAGCACGGAGCTGGCCCAGGGCCGTGTGGTCAGGGCTGTGCAGCTGCCCGGTCTGCGTGGGTCTGAGCTTCGTGCTGGTCCAGAGGCCGCAGAGCTGACTCCAGCGGGAGGGCTGTGTGTGTCCGAGACCGTCAGGAGCCTTCCTCAGCCTCCCCTGCACCCGTCAGCCTCGCCCCTCTGGGGCGGTGGGAGGAGGCCGGAGCTGCGGAGGCCGGAGGCCCAGGAGACGCACATTCTGGGGGTTGATGGCTTTCCGCTTTGGTGGGACAGAGCGGACTTGTCTCAGCTTTGGCTGGTTGGGATGAGGACAGCGGGTGGGCTCAGCCCAGCGCCTCAGCTGGCCGGTGCCTTTGGGCCTTTGAGTCCTTTCCCTCCCGGACCCCAGCCCAGCCCGGGGGCGGGGAGCCAGCGGGGATGGAGGCAGCGTCGGCCGCCTTGCTGGCCAGGCGGGTGGGTCCCAGTCCCGCAGTTTCCAGAGTCAGGGCGCCCCTTGGAAGTCAGAGAAGAAGGGGGCTGAGCCCTAGAAGGTGGTGAGGGAGGTGGCGTTCTCGGACTCGGAGAGGCTGCTCCTGCGCCAGGCGGGCAGCAGCTGGCAGAGGCCGGAGGGCCCGGCGCAGCCCAGCTTGGCCAGCACCCGCGACAGGTCGCTGCGGAACTTGACGCCCGCGAAGGTGTAGAGGACGGGGTTGAGGCAGCAGTGGGCCAGGCCCAGGAACTCGCCCCCCGTGATGGCCACGCTCAGGTAGCGGTGCAGCGCGCAGCTGTCGCCCACGGCCTGCAGCCGGGCCAGGGTGTCCAGGAAGATGGCCACGTGGTAGGGCGACCAGCAGAGGAAGAAGACGCTGGTCACCAGGATGGCCACCCTGACCGCCTTCTGGCGCTGCGGGCGCCGCTGGGCCTGGCACAGCCTGCGCACCACGCCCGCGTAGCACCAGCCCATCACCAGCATGGGCAGCAGGAAGCCGCCGAAGTGGTAGAGGAAGCGGGCGGTGAACCAGGCGCGGGCCTCGGCGCGGCTCTCCTGGGAGAAGGTGCAGAGCGGCAGCGAGGCGTTGTGCGCGGGCTGGCTGACCTTGGCGAACAGCAGCTCGGGCAGGGCCAGGAGGCAGCCGGCCAGCCACACGGCGCCGCAGGTGGCGTGCACGGAGAGGCGGCGGCGGCGGCGGTAGGCGTGCACGGCCAGCACGATGGCCAGGTAGCGGTCCACGGCCACGCAGGCCAGCAGCAGGCTGCTGCAGTAGAAGTTGACCTTGTGCAGCGCGATCACGGCCTTGCAGGGGACGGCGCCCAGGACCCAGCCCACTGAGCCCTCAGCCACGGCGAAGGGCAGGATGAGCACCAGCAGCAGGTCGGCGGCCGCCAGGTGGAACAGGAAGGTCTCGGTGGAGCTGCGTGTGTGCCGGTGCCGCTCCAGCACGGCCAGCACCAGGATGTTGCCCGCCAGCCCCAGCAGGAAGACCAGGCCGTAGGCCACGGGCATGAACACGGCCTTGAAGGAGGTCAGCAGGGGCCCCTCGGCCGCCGCGCAGATGTGGCTCTCCACGGGGGCGGTGTCCGTGCTGTCGCTGTAGTTTCCTAGTTCCTGGGGGCGGGGGCGAGGAGATAGGAAGGCAGAGAACTGAGACTGTGCTGATCCCGCCACCCCCCTGGCCTGCTCTCCCCGGGGTCCCTGACCACATCGCTGAGTGCCTCTTCCCACTTCAGTCTCCACCTGTGAACGAGACTGATGGGCCCGGCTGCTGTGGCTCCCAGAGCTGAGCGTCACCTCTGGACCAGGAGGTCATGGTTCAACTCCCAGTCAGGGCACCGGCCCGGCTTGCAGGCTTGATCCCCAGAAGGGGGCGCGCCGGGCAGCAGGTCAGTGATTCTCTCATCATGATGTTTCTCTCTCTCCCTGTCCCTTCCTCTCTGAAATGAAAAATACATTTTAAAAAATAAATGAAAGGGACTGATCGCTCCGGGGAGTGATGGAGGCGGGAGGACACCGGCCACACGCTGAAGGACTGCGCCTGGACGTGACCCTGTCTGTGTCCCGGCACGGAGGCTGCCGCCGGGGCTGGAACCAGCCTCCAGAGGGGATGGCTCCGGGGCCAGAGCGCCTGCTCCGCTCATGAAGCCGCAGCTGCCCAGGCTGCCAGCCCCTCTGGGTGTGCCCTCTCCCGGCTGCACGCACGCCTCTGTCTCCATCACCTAATGACAGCCCTGCAGGCGATGTCCTGCTTTACCAGTGCGTCTCGCTCAGGATCGGGTGTTTGAACCACTTGATCTGACTCTGGAGCCAGTGCCGCCCCCACCAGGGCCAGGGCCTGGGCTTCCCTCCCGCCACTCCCATCACCAGAGCTCCCCCAGGGGCCTCAAAGCCAAAGGGAGGGAGACCAGGCCCAGGGGGAGGGAGGGAGGGAGGAGCCTGCTCCCAGGGAGGGGTTGTGCCCACTCTGTCCGGAAGCGCCCCTGCCCCAGCTTCCTCCTCCTCCTCCTCCCTCCTTCCACCCCTCCCACCCCTCCCCGGCACTCAGGTTGCTTACCCAGCTAACCGCAAAGGAAGAGGGGGTGGCTGTGCCTTTTCATACCTTTCACTCACAGCTGGTCTGCACCTGCTCCACCGCCTCCCCAGGGCTGTCCTTCCCGCCTCTGCCTCACAGTCCCCTCTATGGTGTTTTCAAAACCAGTGAGAACCAACACGTGTCTACCATCAGAGCGGCAGGGGCGGAGAGGTGCCCACAGCGGGTTCTGGGGTCCCGTGTGCCTCCTTCCAGAGAGTGGGGTCCTGCACAGCCCGTGTGCGGCGCCCCAGGGCCCGGTTCCCGGGCCCCAATCAGGTCTTTCCTCCTGGCCCTGGGGCTGGTGACGAGGAGCGGGTGAGGGGTGCATTAGTACCAGGCCCATCCTCTGCCCATCCCCCTGCCATGGCCCCGTCCCCCTGGTGCCAATGCTGTGGCTCACTGCCCGGCTCCACCAGAGGAGGGACTTCAAACCCAAATCCCACCCACCAGGTCCTGCTGGCTCCCACTTTACCCAGAAACATGGGTGTTTTCTTCCCCACTTCGCACTGAACAGCAAACCCTCTGACAGGGAATGTCATGTCTGCGTGAAAGCGCCTCCAGGCCGGACTAAGCTTGGACCTGGGCATGATGCTGAGCGGACAAGCCTGGCAGAGAGAGGTCAGAGCCACAGGCCCTCCCTGAGGTGGCATCTAATGAACAACATAAACTGAGGAGCGGGAACAGAGCCAGAGGGGAGGCCGGAGGGTGGGCGGTGGGGAGAGATCAGCCAAGGAAGGCATGTGCGTGTAAGCATCGCCCACGCACACAGGCAATAGGGTGCTGAGGGCCTGGGGTAGGGAGATGAATGGGAGGAAGGGGACACATGTAATACTTTAAACAAGGAAGATTTTAAAAGAAAGAAAAAGATTCAAGTAGCCAGCGTCACACATTCACACAGCAGGATACAATGGGGGGCTCAGAAAGAATGGGGCTCGCCTCCACACTCCCCAGGGAAGAGAGCCAACCCTCCGGCTACACCCCCCAGGGCCCGGCACCCACACCGGGATTCCGGGGCTCTCAGCCCCGCCCCCAGCCCTTCCTCCACTCAGGTGGCCTGTCCCCTAGGCTTTTGTTTAAGAAAATGGTTCTTTCCATTCGAAAACCCTGGGATTGCAGGCTGAGGTCTAAATGCCTCCAAAGGGCCTTTAATTTCACCAACATACATATTCCTCTGACCTTTCAAACCTCACATCTCATTGTATGGCGTCAGCCTGCCTGCCTGACACTCCAGCACAGCCTGTCTCCTCTGACAGCAGCCTGGCTGTGCTGAGGCCTAGGCCGCCGCCAAGGTCACGGCTCCACCACCTCCCCCATCCTTCCCTTTCGCTTCGTTTGGCTTCACCTCATCCCTTCTTCCATGAGTGCGCCTTGTCCCAGGACCAGCTGGGCACCTGCTCCTCACTGCATGGCCAGCTCTTTCTCTCTCTCTCTTTCCTTTTTTTTTTTTTTTTTTAATATATGTATATTTTAAAATATATTTTATTGATTTTTTACAGAGAGGAAGGGAGAGGGATAGAGAGCTAGAAACATCGATGAGAGAGAGTCATCGATCAGCTGCCTCCTGCTCACCCCCACACTGGGGATGTGCCCGCAGCTAAGATACATGCTCTTGACCGTAATCGAACCCGGGACCTTCAGTCCGCAGACCGACGCTCTATCCACTTAGCCAAATCAGTTAGGGCCGACTCTTTTATTTTTTAATGATTTCAGAGAGGAAGGGAGCGGGAGAGAGAGATAGAAACACCAATGATGAGAGAGAATAGTTGATTGGCTGCCCCCTGCACACCCCTCACTGGGGATCAAGCCCACAACTTTGGCCTGGGCCCTGACCGGGAATCGAACTGTGACCTCCTGGTTCATAGGTCAACATGCAACCCCTGAGCCACGCCGGCCGGGATGATCTTATTAATACCCACCTGCCCCCGTGAACGGAAGTCTGCGGCGGCCGTCCGGCCCCAGCCCACCCTGTCTGGTGTGGACACGGTGGACAGCTGGAGGGGGGGACACCTCAGGTCCGGAGTGAAGAGCAGACCTGAGTCTTGGAGAAGCTCTCCTTGGAGGACTGGCGGAGCCCGTGGGCCAGAGGGCCGGCGAGCTGTGTGTGAGGCTGAGGGCTGCCGGAGGAACGGAGGAACGGGGCTCCGGGCAGAGGAGAAAGAACCCTGAGCAGGCAGATGCTCCAACATCGGGAGGAAGAGGAGGTTGAGCCCCGGGTGTGGGAAGGGATTCCTACTCCAGAAGGAGGCTGCGCCCTGCCCTCAGCGCCCTGTGCTCCCAGCTCCCGGGGCTGGGTGCTCTGGCTGCCGCCCGTGCAGGGCAGAGCTGGGTCCCAGCCTGGCCTTCGTGAGGCTCAGACCTGGGTGGGACGTGTTTTGTTTTCTCACTTGTCTATCCTGCAGTCAACGAACGCCGCCCTGACTCTGCTTCTCAGCCCCGAGTTGGGGGCAGGGGCAGAGCCGGGACTCCGGGGGCAGAGCGTCTACACACAGGCGTGGACCACGGCTGACACAGGGAGCACACGCGTGCCTACGTGCATGTCCCCATCTGGACGCCCAGCTGAGAGGCAGGGGCTGTGAGTGGAGTCAGCGGTGCCTCTCTCTCGTTCTACCCGTGAGGAGGGGCTGGGGGCTGGGAGAATGAGACTGGGCTGAGGGTGAGGACAGGGGTCTCTGCCTCTGAATATTGATTTCAGAGAGGAAGGGGGAGGGAGAGAGAGAGAGAGAGAAACATCAATGAGGAGAGAGAATCATGGATTGGCTGCCTCCTGCACACCTCCTACCGGGGATCGAGGCTGCAACCCTGGCATGTGCCCTTGACCAAAATCGAACCCTTCAGTTTCCAGGCTGAAGGTCTATCCACTGAGCCACACCAGCCGGGGCCCCCACTCTTCCTCTGGAGGCCGGACTCCCCAAAAGAACACCTGCGTCTCTGGCTTCCCCTGAGCCAAGCTTCTCCTCTCCTCGCCCCGTCAGGGGCGGCCCGCGCTCCTCCTTTACCCCGGGTTCCTACTCTCAGGAACAGGGCACACCTCTGGCCGTGGTTCTGGGGGGAGACTTCAGACTGTCCTCCTTCTGCACCCAGTCTTTACGTTAGGGGTCCCCTTGGGCACCCCACACCCATTTGCACTTTGGAGACAGAGCCGAGCACGCAGAGGAGGGACAGGCGGATGTCCCTCGGTGTGCGCAGGCGGCCGAGTCCGCCGCCCGAGAGGACCGCCGCCCGAGAGGACCGCCGCCCGTTGCGTGAGTGGCCCAGCCTCACGGCGGGAGCGCCCGGGGCTGCGGTTGCGGGGGCTGCGGATGCCCCAGTGCTGACCTCCTGGGCGCCTGGGGCTCCCTCACCTCCAACCCCTCCATCACACCAGCGGCCTCCCCTGGCTGCTCCTGGGACTGTGACCTCACCGCACGGCTCCTTCCCGCCCCCCAACGACAGCCCAGGAATGCGTGCACCGGGTCCTCGCCGCCCCCGGTGAGGGAGGTGAGATGCGGACGGGATCTGCGGCCTGGAGCCCGCTGGGGAGGGTCAGGAGCTGGGCCTGGGGAGCTTCTCCCTGCTCTGGAGAAGGTGCTGTTCACGATGCCCCCCCCAGAGCTGCCCGGGTCCTGCCGTGGGGAGGCACCTGCTCTCAGGTCAAGGTGCCCGTGGGCCAGGCTTCGCTCCTCTGCCCAGATCCGCCTTCCCGGCAGGATGGGTCCCTGGCACGCCCCCCAGGGACCTGGCTTCTTGGCCCTGACACTGGGTTTGCAGAGGAGAAAGGACGCAGGGTGACCGGCCTCGCCCGGCCGTGGGCGTGAACAGCGGCTCTGGCCCGGGGGCAGGTGGGCCGGGCCTCGGGGCAGGAGCCGCAGCCCGGAGCTGGCCTAACACCTAAGGGACGCGCGCCGAGACCTTCGGTAAATCGCAGACCGGCCACACTCCCTCCGAAGCGACTACCGGCAAGATCCCCCCCCTCTGCTTCCGCGGTCTCCCGCCGGGGCTGGGCCGTGCTTGGGGGCCACAGCCCGAGGGCGCCAACAGCTGGTGAAGGTGCCGCCGGGCGGGGCGCCGGTGCAGACGGAGCGTCCTCACGGGACACCTGGCGGCGGCCGCGCCCGCAGTGACCGGAGCGGCCTGCCCTCCCCCGCTCCACCTGCCTAGTAGGTCACGCAGTGGAGCGCGGCGGGCGGGCGGCCGGGCGAGCAGTTAGGGGAAATGGTGAGGCTTCTCAGAAGCCGGACCAGGGCCTGTCGCAGGCTCCTGCAGCAACTGGGTCAGCGCTGGGGTCAGCGCGATGGGCGGGGCAGCCGGGGGCCTGATGGGAGCTCAGCACCAGCCCCGTGCGGAGCCCTGGGCCTGGCCCGTGCTCGCGGCCTGAGCTGTGGGTGCTGCGTGGAGAGGCCGGGCTGCCATTTCACCGTCTGATCAGACGCGTGGTCTGGCTCTAGGTTCCCGCGCGTGGGCCTGGCTCAGGCAGTTAGCCCCCTCAGCGCCTCCCCGACGGGCACACCAGGACCAGGCAGGCGAGGGGCGGGTGGGGCTCCACTACGGACCCGGCCAGGGAGCTGGAGGGTGAGGTTTAGGTGAGGAGAAAGGGTCTGGCTCTTTCATAGTCCAGCCATTGGCTGTGGGGAAAGGGAAAAAGGCTACAAAGAAGTTTCCAGAAGATCCCTAAAGCATCCTCTGCCGCCTGCCAGCAGGCGCCCCGGGGTCTCTGGCAGAGACCTCCACACACACACCCTGGGCCGCCGGGAGAGGCGTGGTGGGCAGGGCGGGCGGGGCCTGTGCGCAGCCCCAGCACCAGGCTCTGGGGTCAGTCCTGTAGGAGGCACCCCGTGTTCCAGGATGCCCCGTCCGCTCGCCACCTTGGGCCCCGGCCCTGGCCCAGGTGCTCCCCAGCGGGCCACCTGACTCACGCTTCTCCCATTTAGCAGTAACGACTGTCTGAGAGCTTCGGGGAAGGGACCTGTCTTTTCTCGGCCAGACCAAGCCAGTGCGGGGCTGAGAGCAGGTCCCCAACAGCACGGAGTGCCCACAATAGACTGCCTGGCACACGCGTGGTCGGCCGCAATGCCCGCCGGAGGTGAAGAAGACCAGTTCTTCCCAGGCTGCATCCCTACCTCCGCCCGGCGGCGAGGAGGGCGGCGCCGACCCCCGACTCCCCGCTCGGCCAAAGGGTGTCTGTAAGACACGGCTCTGCTGACGCGCTCCGTCATGGACTGGCCCGGGGTCTCTCCCTCTGCCCTGGCCACAAAGTACCAGAATTCCCACCGGGCCTGGCGGCCGTCTGTCGCTGCTCACCAGGTACTCCAGGTTGTAGTTGACGATGACGTCCATGTCCAGGGCCAAGGGGTAGCTCATGCTGTGGCTGCTGGTCCCACGCCGGCCCCTCGCGCCTGGTGCTAAGGAGCTCGCCGCACCTATGCAGAGGTGGCAGCGACAGGTGCAAATTTAAGCAAATGAGCTGTGGCTGCCTCCGGCTGCGTAGGACCGCTGCCCGCCTCGCAACTCATCACTTTTTTTCCACTGGGTCTTTCTGTGTGTGTGTGTGTGTGTGTGTGTGTTCTTTCTTTTTTTTTTTAAAGAGGGAAAATCCCCGTAGCCTTTGTGCTAGTCAAGCATGTCAGCTCTTTCCTGGCAGTTGCTGTCTCACTGGGGCTTTGACTCGTGTACAGGCCCCCTCCTCCCTGGACCTCCCAGCTTCCAGGCAGGGAGTCCACCCTCGTAACAAAACCACGGCCCGCAGGGCGACGAGGGAAACTCCAGCCAGGGAACAGGAACCTCAGGACCACTCCCCGAGCCCTCGCCACCCTGCCTTTGCCAGAGCCGCTCGCCAGGGCGCCCGGACTGAAAGCCTTGTCCCGGGGACCCCACGCCCCTGGCGCACTGGGACCTGGCGACCCTTTCGCCCAGGCTGGGACAAAACCTGTTCCCTCTTCATTTTTTAAAATATATTTTTACTGACCTCAGAGAGGGAGAGAGAGGGAGAGAGAAACATCCATGATGAGAGAGAATCATTGATCGGCTGCCTCCTGCCGGGGTTCAAGCCCACAACCCGGGCATGTGCCCTTGACTGGAATCGAACCCGGGACCTTTCAGTCTGTGGGCCAACGCTCTATCCACTGAGCTAAACCCTCTTCAGCTCAAGTTTAGAAGAAATAGGTGAGAAATTTTCAAATGGAAGAACACTAAGATATTAATAGTGGACAAAAATGGAATTACCCAAATTACCAAAGCATGAAACACAAACAGCCACAGAGCTCTTTCCTGAGCAAAGAAGATAATGGTGTTCCGCTGAAAACAAGCCTGTTGGTGTCTAAATCGTTAGCTTCCTGGATGACTACCCAGTTAGAGTAGATTTTTACTCAGAAGGACCCCAAGGCCGGAGAAGGAGAGTGCTGTCCCCAGGACCCCCCCTGTGTTCTCCCCGCCCCCTCTCCCCAATATTCCTGCCCTCCAATCCATTGATATATTCACCTTAGCTTTTGCCACTTCAAGGACACTGATCAGGAAGGAATATGGGATATAAAACCATGTTGGAATTAGATGACTCATATAGGAAATGTAAGATTATTTAAAAAAAATATATATATATGTATATATATATATTCTATTGATTTTTACAGAGAGGAAAGGAGAGAGTTAGAAACATCATTGAGAGAGAATCATTGATCAGCTGTCTCCTGCACACCCTCTACTGGGGATGTGCCCGCAATCAAGGTACATGCCCTTGACCAGTATCGAACCTGGGACCCTTCGGACTGCAGGCTGGCACTCTATCCACTGAGCCAAACGGTTAGGGCAAAATGTAAGATTCTTGCACTCCATCCTCAGCAGATGGTCACCCAGCATTGAACAAACCACTCTTGTTCTTTCCAAGAGCTGGGGCCTTCCGTGGGACCATGGGCTCCTCAGACACGTGTCCCTCACGCCGAGTCCCAGCTGCCTCCCGGTCGCACAGCTCCGGGGCCTGGCTCTGCCTCCCGGTGGCCGGTCTAACTCCTCCGTCTAACTCCTCCGCAGCGCGCTCTCTGGAGCCAGATGCTGCTTCCTCAGGAGACTCTCCCGTGTACACCCTCCCAGGCTCCGTGGCCCTCAGAGGACCTGCTTCTGGCCTCACCAGCCTGTGCTCTGACATGGGGGTGATTGGAGGCTAATGGTCGACATCTGGACAAAACAGAGGAAGATAAAAGTTTTCTTACTAAGGATTCCGAACTTATGTGACTGAATGAAAATCAGCTTCCTGTGGCTCTCGCTTTCCTTGACAACATGCCTAACACATTCCATTGTGATGGTTCCTGTCCATCATATTGGCTTACAAAGAGTAACTTTTTAAAAATATTTTTTTTATTGATTTCAGAGAGGAGGGGAGAGGGAGCGATAGAAACATCAATGAGATAATCACTCATCGGCTGCCTCCTGCACGCCCCCCGCTGGGGATCGAGCCTGCAGCCCGGGCCTGTGTCCTGACTGGGAGTCAAACCCTGACCTCCTCATTCCTAAGGCCGACGCCAACCGCGGCCCTGTCAGCCAGGCTCCTGGTGCTCTTGTTCCAGGGACCCATCGGCCTCCCTTCCCGTCTCTGAAGGTGCTGGACCAAGGCCCGCTTGTCTGAGGCGCTGACCTTTGCTGGCCAGGTCAGTTTGCCCCGGATGGGTAAGTGCCTGGGACCACGCGTCCTCAGTGGCTGTAGGGGCGGAGCCTTTTCTCGGCCAGAGGCCATTGGGATACTTACAGCGTCGTTCGAGGGCCACCAGACGATCCACTTAAAGCGACTGCTGCCTGTGGTGAACATCTCATTAGCTCCTGATCCTCGGCAGGGCCAGACCCAGCGCGCTGGCGGCTGCTGTGGCCCGCGGTGGCGGCCCCACGCCGGCTGCAGGGGCCTCAGAGTGACTGCTTTGCTGGGAGAGATGATGCTGTCATCTCCAACCCAGAGCCAGGCTGCCGGCAGAGAGGCCAGTGCCTAGGGGTGACCCCGGACTTGAAAGAGAAGAGAGGACCCCGTGGTGATGGTCAGGGGTGCTCCCGGGGGGGCGGCCCAGATGGCCTCAGTGCACCTGGTGCTTGCTCCATGCTGTGACTCGCGCCCGCCGTGGACAGCGGCCGGGTCCCAGGCTCTATCACAGCGACCGGGCATCCCGGACGCTGAACGGGCTCGGGTGGATTCTCCTGTGAGGTCACTCCGCAGGCCTGCGTCACTGCGTGTCTGTGCATTCCACACACTCGCTGCAGCCACTGGTCCTGGCGTTCATCGCCCTCCTCCTACATGAAAGTTACGTTTTCTCAGAGTGTTTGCTTACTGACTTACGCCTCTCTGTCTCTCTGTCTCTCTGTCCCTCTGTCTCTGTCTCTCTCTCTCTTTCTCTCTCTGTCTCTCTGTCTCTCTCTCTCTCCTCTCTCTCTGTCTCGCTCTCTCTCTCTCTGGGTGGAGGTCTTGTTCTCTCTTTCCTCGGGGCTTGCCCAGTGCTCAGAGCAGAGCCCATAGGCCCCGCCCGGGCAGCAGGCACCTGGGGAGGCGCCGGGCATCCCTTAGGCCCCAGAGGAGAGCAAAGTATTAACAGCGTTTACTATCTCCACGCCTACACGTTTTACTTTAGTGTTAGTAATCTTCACATTTAATGTAGTATTTACTTACATTTCATCCTCAAATGCCTCCTGCAGGAGATCCTGCAACATCCTTGGTCATACCTTTTTTTTGGTATTTTTTATCGATTTCAGAGAGGAAGGGAGAGGGAGAGAGAGAAACATCCATGATGAGAAGGAATCATGGACCGACTGCCTCCTGCACGCCCCACACTGGGGTTCGAGCCCACAGCCCAGGCATGTGCTCTGACCGGGAATGGAACTCTGACCCCCTGTTTTACAGGACGATGCTCAACCACTGAGCCACACTGGCTGGGCCCTGGCCCTATTAAAAATATCGTTAACTTTACAGCTGACACTATCTCAGGTGTCCCCCATTTCCTGGCCCGGCTTTTGAGGCTCAGCTCCTCGCTCGGGATGATGGGGAGCGTGATCGCAGAGCAGGGTCCGAGCCGCCTCTGTGGACCGCGCCCCCCCTCCCCCACACACACACAACGTGCTCCCGTAGACGTCGCCGTGCACGGCTGGCACCTGGCCTGCGGGCGGGCGGCGCTGCCCACAGCGCTGGGCCAGGTGCTGCGTGTGCCGCTGAGCCTTTCGCACCCTCGCTTCCTCCCCGTGTTTTGATCGCAGCGTGGCCCTGTGGGAACGGGGGAGCAGCGGGGAGCAGTGAGTGTGAACAGCTCCAGAGCCCATGCAAAACACAGGAAGTGGGGGTACAGTTCTCAGGCGGGGCGCCCACACTGGCACCTCGCAGGTAACGGGGGAAGTCCGGGCAGGGAGGAAACGGCCGAGGGCAGGAGACAGTTTACCTCACGGGCGGGCGTGGGGCCCGAGGGCAGGCGTGGCCAGGGTGAGGGTGAGGGCGCCAGGGGGCCTTGTGTCCTCAGGGGGTGGGGAGGCCTAGGAGGTGGGACTCAGCCTTTGTCCTTGGGGCATTCTGTCTAACAGGACAGACAGTGGATGCAACTCTGCATACTCAGACACAGGCCACTCGGGAACCCTTTCTTTTTTTTTTTACTTTTTTTGTTGATTTCTGAGAGGAGGGAGGGGAGAGAGAAACGTCATTGATGAAAATCATTGACCGGCTGCCCCCTGCACGCCCCCCCACTAGGGATGGAGGCCGAAACCCCGGCCTGTGCCCTGATGGGGAATCGAACCCTGGCCTCCTGGCTCCTAGGTCCACGCTCAGCCCTGAACCGCCCGCCGGGCCGCCCAGGGGCTTGGGAAGGAAGCAGGCAGGACCAGGGAAGGGCGGGAAGGCGAGGGGCAGGCGGGCACAGCGGGCAGCGGGCAGCGGGCGGCCGGGCCTGCCACCCCGCGGGGGCCGGGTTGCTCAGCCCGTGTTATGGGTGAGAAAGCCCGGGTCTGCCACCCGGGTCCGCCACGTGTGTCCCGCGGGAAAGGCAGCTCCCTTCCCTCCGAGGAGCAGGGCTGGGCCCGGCGGGCGCCCTCGCTCTGGAGGAGACCAGGGTCAGCGAGGCGACCGGCGTGGGGGCGGCGGGCAGCAGTGAAAGTGAGCGCGGCAGAGAGAGAGGTGAGGCTGCGGGCCGCGGGAGCGCCGCCCACCGCGCAGCCGGAGTTTCCGCCGACTCCCCGCCGGGGAAGCTTCCTGGGCTGCGGGCCGCGCAGAGAGAAATGATGACACAGCAGGGGGCCGGCGGCGCCGCGGCCGAGAGGGCAGGGCCTCGCTCGGGGCAGGGCGGTGGAAAGCCCGCCAGGCTCCTGGCTGCAAGGCCACGGGCGGGCGGGCGGGCGGGGGGGGGGGGGGGGGG